ATTGATTTCAGTGAGTTTTGGATTACAGCCTTATTTTGTTCATGTTGATCTTGGCTTCAGTGAAGTCAACTGTTATTTTGACACTGACTTAAACAGGGTCAGGATCAGGCCTTTTTTCTATTACTGAGTTTTTTTTCCATTTCCCTCCCCCTTTTATTTTTGTCCTTTTTATTTCTCTCATCAATGCTTTTCTCTTTTTTTCACTCTTTTGGACACACTTTAATTTTCATTGTAATTTGTTTTTTCTCTTCCAGTGTCTCATAAAGCCAGTAAACACTGAATTGCCTTCCATTTGTCAGCTAATGATTGTCCCAAGTAAATGTATGTGGAAGCAATATTAAATTCATTATGTTTGTTTCATTAGCTAGTGCTAAGTAAATATAAAACTATGCCTGGATAGTTATCATTATGGAATATTTTCCATATGTTCTTTGCAAAGAGAAGAGTTGCTTTTCAAAATTGCACTGACAAATATAAAAGTAAAAATATAGCTGATTTTTGAATGTTAGAGTCACATTCATGTTTTGATATTAAAATACTAATTTGACAGTGTTGATTGAAGTTTTAATTAATTCAGGAACACACACAGGTTTCCTTCATGTGGGCCAAAATTACTACTGAAGAAAAGCATGTCCCATATATAGATATGTTCTATTAAACAACATAAGCAAAAGAGGCAAGTTTTAAGGTACATAATTCCGCCATATCTTAACTTTTGCATACTCAGCTTAAGCACAGTGTGTTTTTTTTTAAAAAGTATACATAAAAAGAAACATGTTTATATATTTTCCCTTTCTTCCATAAATAAGAGTATTGAAACACATATGGCTTAGATTTTTCAGAAAAAAAATAATCTTTTGGCAAGTACAGTAAGGGTTAACCATGCTATACTAAATATTTTGGAAAGTTAAGAGGAAAGGTGCGATTGAATTTATAGATATTAGAATGTTGTAAATATTGGTAACAATTATTATGCCTGTTGCTGAATCAGGGATGTTTTACTCTTAAGGCACCCATAACTTTGGCAACAAAAGACAACATTCTCCCTGAGTCATAATTGTTTTCTTAAATAGATCCAATCCAGATGGTGGCCGTCTATTAAAGCAGCAAAGTCTATAGCTTAATATATATTGCTATTAGTGGTCAGAATTTTCTAGGACTACAGTCTCACTTATGGGTAAGATGTGTATGGAAGGTTCCTGCCCAGTTAAGGAAGGAGCTGTTTCAGAAGGAAGAGGGTCCTACATTTGTGATGTTATTGAACTTACATTAAGATCAAGTTGTTACAGAACATAAGTCACTGTCCGTATCAACTGTAAAAACAAATGCCACTATGTTGTAACAAAGTAAGTATGTTAACTCCTTTTGAATGCAGCGGAGTTCTTTATGGTTTGGAGCGTCTATGAATGTTCTTTTTGAAAGGCATTGCAACTTTTAGATGAATATTATTAGTGCTACGTATGAATGATAGCAAATAGTTTTGATAGCTTTAATTGTTGTAACTTGCATTTAGAGCAGTTTAAAAAACCTAGTTATTTAGTGTGCTTCCCTTTCCAGCTTGGAAAATATTTTATATTTTTTCAGGGGAAATTAAAATACTGAAAAGTTTTTTAGTCAAAAACTTTGACCAAAGGTTTTTAGCTTTGGGACTTCAAAAAAAGAAGAAAAAAAAAAGAAAAATCAAGACTTTCTGTAGAAAGCAGATTCTTGTAATGAAAAATATCAATAGAAGATCTTTGACAACCCCACTTAATTCATGAATAACTATATAAATGTTATCATGGACTACCAATGTTTTGGAGAGAGGAGTTTCTGCTAGCCACTGTTTTCTCCTGGACACTTGCCAAGAAGTTGCATTATAGTTACCCCATCTACTGAACTCACTAGCAGCACTTAACATGCCTGTGCAGAAATGGTAATGATCTCTTCTCTTATAGTATTTACTAGATTAGGAGCTTGGGGTCAGTCAAGCATATTGTTTCTCAAAGCACTGTTTTTCACAGAAGCAGTTTAATAGATGAAACTATTGTCCCACAAGAGGCGTAACACACCTTTTATATTGAAGTGTCACATTCCAGCGTAGGTATCAAAATAGAAATCCCTGCACAGGAAATCCTATTATCTCAGAGGACCAGTTTCACATCTAGTGTACCTGAAGTCAGTGGAGCCACACTGGCATATACCAATAGAAAATATGGCTTGATGTTTTTGTGAGAAAGTGTTAACTCTTTGTCTGGCATACCACATTCAGAAGGCAACAAACAGTATACTTGCATATTCCATAGCTAATTAGATGACTGTAGGCACATCAGTATTTGCACTGTACTATTAGATCTTCCTCTGTCTGATTCAGTTATTATGTGCAGAGGAAAAGCGTGTGTTCACAAAATAAGGTTTTCAAAACAGGAAATGAAATTAAAGTTTATATTCTAATATCTCTGTATTACCTTAGGGAACATATACATTTTAAGGGTTTCTATTTCAGCATGTGCGTATGTACAGTCCCTGCTTGATTTTGTTTTCTGTTCTCTTATTGTTGCTGTTATTCATTTTCAAGGTTGCTATGAGTAATAAGGTAAATAAATCAATCTTGTAATGGGAAGTGATCATTCACTGTTATATTGTCCTCTAAGCATCTTCCCACATGATTCAGTCAGAGAGACAGCTTTATGTTGTTTTATGAATCCATGCAAGTATGGACCTTTGAGGCTTCTGCAAGTCCTAGAGGGATTGTTTCATTAAGCAGATTGACCATGCATACATAACAATATCACAGGGGCTTCAAGACATGGGTTGCCCTCCATTTTAGGTCTGGATAAATATCTGCACACTATAGCAGGTCTACAAAACCCAGATTATTGTCCCATTCAATTTATCGCATCTTCCTTCTGGCATGAGTTCAAAGCTGCTTTCTAGCTAGTGCTGAATATGAAGGATTGAGTTTGTTCTCTACATCACATTGATGATTTCCAAGTTGAATTCTTGCTCTGAGTTTTAGTCTTTAAGCAACGAGGGACAGAAAGTATGTATGGCATCTACACTCACTCAGCCTTTGACCTCATTGCAGTCACTGTACCTGTAGGTATGTTTAAGGGAGAAGGGGAGCTTTTTCCTGAATGGTTTTACCCAATAATGATTTTCTGTCCTCTTCCCTCCCCTGGTATGCCAATATTCAGCTACTAAAGGTAGCTGAATTAGATCATGTTCTCCTCTAATTTGCTTTACTTGATTATAATACCTGCCCCAATTTCAAGTTATAATTGAAAATTATTTCAAAGGTATATCAAATTATTTCATTTCACATCTTAAAATTATGTCCAGTATGCCTTATTCCCTGTGACCCACCTGCGAACTTGGTGATCATTACAAGTACATTTTTATAGTACCACACTGGGCAGCAATACTCTGCTTTTGGCAGACATCTGGATCTCAGTTTTTGTATAATATTAGCATATTGCTCTGTATCCAGGAGCACTGTACTCAAAGATGCTCTGAAGATGATGGAAGTATTTGGGCTGTAGACAGCAAAAGAGCTGAATAGTAACAAGATGCTTGTTTGCACATGGGCTGGGGTTTAGTCTTCTGTTCTATAGTCTTTCATCCCCAAAGTCCTGATGTATTGCAGAGGAGGAAAAAAGGTATCCATATCAGTCTCTTCCTCCCTCTGGGGCTCCTCAGGAAGCATGTAGAACCAGTTTCCTGACTGTATGGCTTTATGGGTGGTGACAGGGAGTGGTTGGAGTCCTAAATTAGTGATCATTCTATTATAATTTGCAGTGGAAATTAACTCTGGAATCAACGTTAAATACCACTCTTTTGGCACATCTACATGTGCACATTTACTGTGCAGTAACCAAAATTACTGCACAGTATAGGTGTGTGTCTACACATGCACACCTGTACTGCACAGTAAATATGGTGATTTATGCTGACTTGAGTGTAAATTTGATACCTACATTGTACAGGTATCAAATTTATGCCTGATTAGTTACTGTGCAGTAACACACATGTAGACACCTTACTGTGCAGTAACACCATGTGAGGACTGACCTGGGACTAACTTTAATCCACACACAGCATTAATGAGCTTTAATGCCTGCATGTGTAGGTGCTAGCCTATTCCTTTTTGTTGCATAGTAATTTACTACGCAGTAAATTTAAGCTGGCATAAATGCACATGTAGACATGCCCTATAGTGTCCTTTTCCTGTGAAGAAGGAGGATGCTGGCTTGGCAGGGGCAGGAGGAGCTCTGGTTTCATACAGAGAGAAGGCAGAAAGCAGAGTGGATTTCCCCTAGATACACAGGCTTTTTTTTTTCCTGAAGATTTCAGAGCTCTGCTGAGCCTAGAGGCTTCAGCCTATTACTCCCATAAGGTTCTACATCTTTCCTCCTGAAGGCCTGATTCAACACATCCTTGGCAAAGTGATCTCCCAGGGTGTCCCGAGTCTGTTGGAATCTTTTATTTTTATTAATGTGGCAGGAATCACTGTAGGTGTCACTTTCCAGGAACATGGGAAACAGTCTCCAGTGGGTATTTAACTGTGCTCTCTATGATTTGTGACACTTCTGTTTTCTTGTAGACCTGACAGCATGCTGTGTAACAAACTACTGCATTTATTCATAAGATTTTTTTTGTTTTTTATGCATTCCTTTTCCTTGCATGCTACTGCCTCCCTCCCCCATCCTCCCCCCAGCACACACAGAGCAAGAGGCAGATATGCAGACTTGACTCTGTGGTCAAGTCTGAATACTGACAACAGTTATAGATCTTACATCTATTGAAAAGTTTTGGGGATTTTTTAGGAGATTAGAAAGTAAGAGAAAATACATGTTAGACTATTGGGAAAATACACCTGAGACATGGAGGGTACTACATATTATTGCTGAATCAGTAAATAACTTGTATAACCAGGGGACTATGTGTTGAGGCAAAAGTGCAATTAACTCCAGTGGTGTTGAGTCTAAGTTTTACTAACCCAAGATTTTGCTTTACACCAGTGAGAAAAAACTCATTGCAGATGCCCTGAATAAAAATCTGTTTCTCAAGAGACTAGACCCTCAGCAGATCCGAGACATGGTAGAATGTATGTATGGGAGAACATACCAGCAGGGGAGCTTTATCATCAAACAAGGAGAGCCGGGCAACCATATTTTTGTGTTGGCAGGTTGGTACCTTTTACATGTGTTTATATTAGCAGATGATGCAAGGATTATGATGTTATCACTTTCATTTTGCTTTTGTATGTGGAGGATACAGCAAATATTGCTTACAGATTGGGATTAGCTTAACTGCTTCCATTGATCTTACTAACTGGTCCCATTTAGATCAATGGGAGATTTAACCTTGACTTCAGTTGTCAGTGGTGAGTGCTTCTGTAAATTTTACCATTATATCATTGCAAAACTGGACAGATTTGAGTTAGTGTGTTATGGGCTTCCTTCATTTGTGTGAAGGGGTACAGAAGGCATGTTATATTATTTTAATATTGCAGGTGCTGTCATATCTTTTTTTCTATATTTTAATTCAAACAGCAAGTAAAATCTAAAATATAGAAAATTGCTGTGTGGTGAAAGGTTTGCCAACATTCTAATAATAACAATTATTATTGTAATTAGTATTATAAAAGAATTTTATAAAATTTCTCTGAGCACAATCTTGGCAGGTAAATTCTGAGCTTATAAATCTCAGATTTAACATTTTAAACTACCGTTTTGAAAAGACAAGCTTTTTAGTTTAGACATCTTTATCATCCTGCACATCAGAGCTCTGAAATAGTGTAATTTTGGTATCCTGACATATAGGCTTCTACTTTGTCCACTTTTATATTGTCCCTCAAGCAAAATAAGTCACCCTGTGCATTGATTACCCTTATATTGGACTACATTGAACACTTTAGATCCACACACAGAAGGAATGCTCTTCTCTTGTCACATGCTGGGCAGAACTTGGGCATTTAATCTTTAAACATAACCATCTTTAAAATCCATAGTCCATGCTAGAGTGATGGAGGACTCGGTAAGCTGATACAGGAGTGATTGGGGTGGGTACATGAATGGATGGGTGGCAGTTCTAAAGGTGAAAGGATGTATGATGAGAGATTCCACAAGGGTATATTCCAGGTCCTGTACTATTAGGTATTTCATTAATGGCTTGTATAATGGGATAGAGAGTACAAAATACTTCTCCTTCTCCCTCTCCCTCCCTCTGCAATAGTTCATATTCCTATTTCAAATCCTTATTTTTACATTATTGGTCCAATGTTGATATTTCAGTTGGTCAGGACATCAGGAGTCTGTTGGTTTGTTGTTTATTTTCTATGTGTAACATGACTTTAATGCTTACTATCCTGGTGACATTTGACAGAGGGCAGGCTGGAAGTTTTTCAGCAGAACAAGCTGCTCTCCTCAATCCCTGTGTGGACAGCATTTGGTGAGCTAGCCATTTTATACAACTGCACAAGGACAGCCTCTGTGAAAGGTATACATAGTTCACTGATACAATGTTACCAAAAGTGAAAAGTACAAGTATTGTTATAATGTCTGCATTATGTCCAGGTTCACTTTGAACTTGTTTTTTAATCTATGATATGATGTTTAATATATGATCAATGCCCTGACTACATTTCCAATGAGCTAACATAGTTCTTTCTGCCTGGGGACCTAATAATGCCAGTTCACAAACATACTCCCTTCCTGAACATGACCTTAGAAAGATTATTGCGTATTTCTAGTTTGTTGTTGCCAGCCAAATACACACTGGGTGCATCTACACAAGATGCTTTACTGCACATTTAATTAATCTAATTCACAGTAAAACATCAGCATCTACAAGCGTGTGGGATTTACTGCACAGTAAATTAGGCTAATGCACTGTTTGCTAGTACTAACAAATACAAGTACTAGATTAACTGCATTAGCTACTATGCAGTAGCGCACTGTGTAGGTTGCTACCTACACAGCAATCAGCTTAGGCAGCAGGAGGTTAGGGGGGGAGCTGTTCACAACTCCGGTGCTGCTTAACTCCTGGCTCTCCCATGGAGTGGGAAGCTGAGCTGTGCCAGGATGAGAGAGCTCTGTGTCCCTGGTTTTTGTGCTGCTCAGCTCCCAATTCCCCCCAGACACAGGCAGGGAGCAGGAACTGACTGGGGCATGTATTACATGGGCAGCAGCAGGGCTGATGGGACAGAGAGTTCCCTGTCCTGTCAGCCCTGCCACTGCCCATGCAGCACTTGACCCAGTCAGCTTACTCTCCCCACGTGTGCCTAGGGGGAGCCAGGAGCTGAGTGGCACTGGGACTGAGGGGAGACATGGCGGGAAGGAGTGCCAGGACTGGGGGGGAACAGGGCTGGTACAAGGGTAATTGGTGCCCTAGGTGAACTGTGTACCTCGGCGCCCCCACCATTTCCAATATAGAGGAAAATAAGAAGTCTAGAATGAATTTTTACCTCTGAGATCTTTTCAGAGGTCTTTCTCTTTTTACCAAACCAAAGGTCTTAGACCAAGGTGGAGCTGTAGCTGGCCAGGGCTATTATTTAGAATGATGTTTCTGTTATTTTGTTCTGCATATAATTTTGGTGCCCCTCAAATTGTGGTAACCTAGGCGCCCCCCTAGTTTGCCTAATGGTTGGACTGGCCCGGTGGGGGAAGACATGGCTGGCGGGTAGCAGCACCAGGACTGGGGGGAGGGAGCATGCAAGGGGAAAGGACCACCAGGACTGGGGGAGGAGATGCAGGGGGCCTCTGCTGTCTCCATTTTCAGCCCTTCTATTCTGCACTTGATCCACTCCAGGCAGTACACAGAGCTTATGACCTTCTTACCCACTGATTGTGTTACTGGTTGCATTAATTTGAGGGGAATTTTTCCACCTGCTTGTATAACTGCCTAGGTATGCCACCAAATTTCACTACTGGGCATTTGGAGGTGCAGAGGTGGTTAGCCACACTAGTTTGAAGACTGGCAGAAGGTAAGGCAGGTTGGCCTCTTAGAAATTAATTGGTTTGGAGAGGCATTAGGTTTCACAGGCAGCAACCTGCTTTGTATGTGTTAGTAATCATTGTCTTTCAGGAAGCTTAGAATGGTCATTAAAATTATGTAATGCAGAGTTGACTGACTTATGCTGAACATCACATCAGAGCAGGTTGATTAGGGACTAGCAGTTATACATGATAATAATTGTTTCTTTAGTACAACATACTGCAATATTGTCAACACCTGTTGGTCTCGTACCGGTCTGTTTACCTTCAGGGTCTGTAAAAGAAATGTAGTTGTCAGTTACATCTTCAGTTATTTCCTTAATCTTATTTGCAGATAACAGGTCTGACTCTGCACTTGTTTCCCAGACTGGTGTAAATCTGGAGTAACTCCATTGAACAGAGCTGGTTTTTATGGGTTTTGCATCTGAATTTGCCTGTAGATGACGTTGGTGTGACTGAGAACAGCCTTTAATCCAAAATCCAAGTGTTTTCTGGGCATTAAATACAGACTGGATAAAACACTTTGATGTTATGCTAAGAGTAAATAAAGAACAGTTAACTAGAGATATTCTGAAATTTATGGGATTATATTGGATATAAAGTCTGGAAAGGATTGTTACAATGGGGCGCAGTTTGGTACAGTGGTAGGGTGCTGAGCTGGAAGTTAGGAGTTGTGTTTCTTTCCTTTCCACTGTGTATACTTGGACAAGTCACTGTACCTGTCCCTGCATCCCTTTCCCATGACACCCTTTTCTGTCTTGTCTATTTAGGCTGCAAATGTTTTAAGGCAGGGACTACAACCTGTTTGTACGTATGTGTGTTATGCTTAGAGCAAGAGGGCCTGACCTCTGTGGGAATCCTTGGATGGTACTGAGTGCATCTACACATACACTTTAATGCCCAGGAGCCTATTCTACTGCTTATTAAAGTGGTGTGTAAAAAAACATGATAACGTGCAGTAGAGTAGGCTATTGAGCATTAAGCATCACTAAAAAAGCATGTGCTTGTACTACTGTGCATTCGTGCAACCTAATATGCATTTATGTAGTACCTCAGGGTGCCTGTACATGATCCAGGAGCTTGAAAATGGTGGTGGGGGTGCTTTAACTAAGGCTCATATGATGAGCTTCAGATAAAGTACCCTCACTACCATTTTGGAATGCAGGGACACTGATACATGAGATACCCCGGGCATTTTAATTGGAGCGGCTCTCAGAGGTGCCCCCTGCCCCCCTCCCCCTCCCAGAACGTGTAAAAATGCCTTTGTATTGAAAGTACTGGATTTAATGCACATTAGCAGAAGTGCATTAATACACATGTAGATGTGCCCACTGTAATGCAAACATAAAGATTATTAGGTCTGTGCGAAGAGGGCTGTATTTGATTTGGGCTCAGCCTGATTTGGAGGACAGTGATTCAATTAATTGATTTGGATTCCTGTCCCAATTCAATTTGGCCAAATCCAAATCTGAAGATTTGATTCTGATTCAGAGAATCAGAGATTCAGCCATAGACACAGCTTTAACTGTTTTTTCTACATACCTCGAGGTACCAGTTGTGGCTCGTGAATGCTGAGACGGTGGGGCAAATGGAGCGTGGGGGAGGGGCCCCCGTGTGCTCAGTGATGGACCCAGAAGTGGACCAGAAGGACGCTCCATCTGCCACACCATCTCAGCATTCACAAGCTGTCTGGTACCTTTAGGTATGTAGAAAGAACATATAAAGCTGTGTCTATGTCCGAGTCATCAAATCTCTCCGAATTGATTCGGAGGGTTCCAATTCAATTTGGATAAATTAAAAGGTCTTCTGATTTGATTTGGATTTGGAGATTCGGCTGCCGAATTGGGCCGAACCTCTGCTAAATTGAATCGGCGACCGAAGCTTCGCACAGCTCTAAAGATTATCTAGTCTTGACAACCTGCATGACACTGTGTAGATTTCATCCTATCATTCTTTTACTACCCCAACAATTTTGTGGGAGGAAAAACATCAGCTAGTACTGATGGGCTTGATTCCCTAAGCTTCAATATGCTCCCACTATACCATTCCACTTCGGTCAGTACACATTGGTCAGTTTTCAATAATTCTGTGAATTCTACTTGCCTTTCCTCTTGTGTAAATCTCACTGTACATCAAAGTAAATAGGAACAGAATTTAGTCTTCTGGTATATTTTTTTTTTAAGTTTTTTTTTCTTTTTTCTCTTCTCTTTGGTCCTTTTCCCTACCTTCAATATAAAGTACTTAAGCATTTTGTTAAATATACTGACTATGCAAATGGAAATGATTACATTTACTTTCTTTCTCTCTTTGTTGCTGCATGCTAAACAAAACTGCATTGATAAGGTGGTTATTGTCCTTACTGGTGCACTGCTGCATTTAATTTTGTTCTGTATTCTTCCCCTTTTCATGGACTTCATACTATTATCATTGCAAAAGAAATGTTTTTGCATATTGCGATGTCATGTTATTTTAGCACTTTGTTAATATTGATTGGTTTTGAGGAAACTTATTGAGAACCAGAACAGAGTTTTGAATAGTTAAAACACTACAACTATAACTCAAATATATTGTCTGCTGGTGTTTTCACGCTCTTTACTTAAGATGTAGCTAGTAATTTCATCTGTGAACAGAGATTATGGGTGCCTGGCCTAGTAAAACTCTCTTTCTAGCCAGCTTTGAACAAAAGAGGAAGATGGGAGTATTTCCAGCCCAAACTCTCAATAGCATTTGTGCTATGACTGTTCAAGAAAAACTGCAAACTTGAAACAGTAATATCTCATTCCTTTGCACAGTGTATTTTTCCTTTCCCATTGTGGTTCATAGGTTACAATTTCTTTAAAACTGTAAAGATTGCTTGAGGAATAATTAAAGAAACTAGGGTAAGATTCCCAGCTGACGAGAGTGGAAATACACCTATCAAGATCGAGCAAAAATAGTTGTTTGGGACAGAGGTAAAACAAACAAAAAAAACTTGTTTGGAACCACAGACAGTGATATACATCAGCTGAGAATCTACCCATACCACTGAACTAACTACAAAGGTTAGTAGTTTGAATCAGAGTTCAAGGAGTTTAGGAAATAAATGGAACCTTTAAGTGATGTATGCCCTTGGACTTTATACGTGATGCATTACTCTTTCTAAATAAAAACATCCCTTTGTTCCTGGTACAAAATCATTTATTTTATGGGGTTTTTTTTCTGATATTGTCTTTCAGCATATTTAACACCCTGTCTCATTTGTATGTCCCATAACCTGTGTAAAATTGTTGATTATATGTTATATTTAAGAAGGAAACGGTGTTTAAATTACATTTATCCACCTTGTTAGGTTATGTAGCACTTTCAGATTTTGCATAACGCTTCAGGATTTGCTCCTTTGGTTTCAGAATCAGGATATGACCTTTAGATCTGGTATTATTAGTTTAATTTCTCTGTAGTGTCTTAAAGCATTTCTAGGAGGTTAAATCCAGTACTTGTCATTATATAGTCCTGTCATGGGATAACTCAGAAAAATCCTAATCCTGCGGATCTTTGTCTACTATGTATTTTACAGTATGAATCATCATGTTTTATATTTAGTCTAATTTAGAGGTGATTTCTAGCAAAATTATTGTGCACTTAAACCTCCAAACTAAACAATGATGACTTGTGTCTCAAGCTCTTTTATTGACAATATAACCCAAAATTTTCAAGCACCTGTAATCAAGATTAAAATTCAACTCCCATTTAAATAGCTGTCTTTCAAAGCAGCTCAGGTAATATGGGAACTGCATGTTTCTCAGCACTTATTAATATCTGGGCATTATTTAGATGTCTAGATGTGGAAGCTATGCTGTCATGAAAACCTGGTTTCAGCTGTGGAGTGTTTGAATATCTGGCCCATATTGCACAATATGTATAGTACCATATCATAATATTGTAGTATCTTCCAATACATCATTAAAGGAAATTTTTTTTTGTTTCTTTGTTCTGGTCTTCTGAAAGCTATCACAAATGTTAAAACATGGGCATTGGACAGAGAGGTGTTTCAGAACATCATGAGAAGGACAGCACAAACAAGACAAGAACAGTACAGAAATTTTCTCAGAAGGTAATGCAGTTTACATCCAAGGTAACAAAATGAGGTACACAGATTATTCTTGTTGCAATCTGTTTGGAGGTAATAGTGCAGCAAGTACAACAATTCAGTAGTACATGTATTTCACAGTGTTGTATGTTTTTCGATTCACAAGGTGTGTCTACATTAATGCTCCTTTGCTACTGCACATTAAGTTTAGTACTTCTAATATGAGGTACTACATAAATGTGCAGGAGCTGGTGCTACTGCGCAGTAGCAAAGGCACATGGTCTTTTTATGATACTTAATGTGCATTACACTAATTCTGTTGTGCACTTGTGCATTAGCATAGCTTTTGCCATGAGACCCTAATGCACAGTAGAATTAGTCTACTATGCATCTTGTGTAGGTGCACCCACATAAACAATTTTCTGATATGTTAAAAAAGACAAAATATGTTTTATATGGGCTGTGCTCTAAGTTAGCAAACTGAAGATGGAATGGCTGGAAGTTCAGGCTGTAAAAAAACATTAAATGAGAAACAAGGCAAAACGTTTTAAATACTAGAGTAATTTACTGTTGGAGTGGATTCTTAAGGGAAGTGGTAAATTCATCACATCTTGGATACTTTAAATCAAAATGGCATGTCTTTTCTAAATATATGAGATATTTTAAATACAATTTATTGGGATTGAATATTTTCACTAATTGGTCAGAGGAGAGTAATTCCCTCCACTACACAGACAATGGTAGGTGAAATGGTTTAACCTGTGTGATGCGAGAGATCCATTTAGAGGCTTACAATGATCCCTTCTCGTTTTAAAAATCTATTACTCTTCATTTTAGAAATTAACCTTTTATAATCCAAAATAACATTATTTTAAACAAATAAGAGAATACAGGTTTCCCTCACTTTATGCGGGTTCTGTATGTATGAATTCGCTCCTATGCAATGCTCTTTTTCATATAAAAAATTAATTATATGCAAGGTAAATGCACTCTTATGCGATCAGTGTGGTGATAGCCTGCAGTCAGCTGCTTTGTGCGGTGCATTGTTGGAGTGACACGTACCAAAATATAGTCTCCTGTGTGGATCTGTGCTCCTCACTTGTTGTCTGCAACACGTGTTTTATGTAGTTACCATCCCCATTATGGCTTTAAAAATCCTGCTAGCTTATCTCCTATCACTCTCTGCCTTTGGTGAGTAATAAAATTGTCTTGTAAAAGTGTTAGAAATGAGTCTGGGGGTCAGTACAGTCGAGGTCTTGGAATGTATCCCTATTTGTTACATTGAAAAAGTGGGCTCCCTTTATGCGAATTCTAGTTATGCGCCATTTTCCAGGAACGAATTACAGCATAAAGCGAGGGAAACTTGTGTTTAAATTGCTGTGCCCGTAATTAGCCAGTATTTTTCTTTTTATTATTTTCTCTTTGGCCAAAAAAATATCACTTATATATAGTTCCAAAATAAGATACCAAGTTTGCCTCTGTATAAGGTATATTCTAGGTTCAGACTTCTTGGTATTCTTCTCTAGATCTTTTTGGGCTGTAGTCCTCCTCTCAGAGAAACATCTTTTCTGTGGGTTTTTTTTTCCGTCTTATGATCAGTAATATCATTAAGCTATTACTGCATTTGGATTCTCTCTTAATAACAATCGCAGCAAAACAGTCAGTCTTCCTTTGTTGTAATTTTCAGTGTTTTTAATACATTTGATTTGCACTAGAATGGCAGTAGGATGAGTTGTTTTTGACACTGAACTAATGGATTGTGATTCACGTGTTTAATTTTCAAATTAGGCCCATGATTTGGCTAGAGGTTTTTATTCTTTCAGTGCATGTTTGGAAGATTTTTAAAACTAGCAACTTCATCCCTATCTTTTTTATCTTCCTTTGTATTAAACAGGATGTGATCCCACAAAGAGTAAGTGTGGTTAGTACTTGAACTATCCAGTTACATGTTGTATACTTTGTATTTGGATAATTGTTTATACCAGTATGAAATGACTGTAAATCAATGTCCATGGATGGCAACCATTTCTTCCTGGTTTGTACTGGGAGGAAATGGGTACTGATCTTGGCCCCTATTTTGTAAAATGAATGCTACAAACACAGCGTGGGGATAAGATCTTGGAGAAAGCGTGAAAGATCATGAATTGAACTAAGTGTGCATTTTTCTTGATTTTTGAAGTGTATCCCTACTGAAAAACCTACCTGAAGATAAGCTAACAAAGATAATCGATTGCTTGGAAGTGGTAAGAGATTTTAAAATTAAGCTAAAGTGTATCTGGCAAACATATTTTAAAAATAATCAGCACCAGAGTCTTTCCAGTTTTAAGCCCTCTGAAGTTAACTTTATTTGGCTACAGTTAACTGGCACAATAAATTGTGGAGCCAAATTGCTGCAATTCTGGAAGACACTTTTCCAAGTAGTATCACACTTGAATTCATATTCAGAATCCAGGAATGTCATGTGACATAACTTTATTCTAACTGAAATGCAATCTGTACTTCAGTTCTGACAACCTTTATTGTTATAACAGTGCCTGAGATCTTTAGTAAGAACATTTTCTAAGACGTCGGAGCCCAGAATGTAATCACCATTAGTCGCATTTGTAATTCTCATATAATAAAATGGAGTTGAAATTGTTTACCTGAACTGAAAGTCTGCATGTAAATTATGAGAGGCTTAAAATTTATATCAAGCTAAATATATCTGTAAACTATCAGGTTATAGAATATACTTCATATAAAGCCTCCTTGTACTGTTGGTTATTAGTAAGTCATTTTCCATCAGTTATAAAATATAGTGTGAAGTAATAATCCATTGAGAAATACATATATACTAAGATTTGTTTTTTTGTTGGTGTTGTTGCTTTGTTTTGTTTACTTGCATGTAAATTATGGCTCCAGATTTCAATATGCAGTTTATGGAAATCTTCCTTTATAGTTTATCAAGGATATGCAATGATGACACAGTTATAGCTTTGCACCTCCAGAGATTTCAATTTTAGAGTCATTTTGGATAGGTTTGCTTCTCCTGTTCTCTTGGGATTGTTTTCTATGCAACATAACCCTATCACAGATGGTACAAATTCATAATTCATCTTAATTTCAAATTTTTTATTTACCAAGGAGGACAATATTTTTCTTTTAAAGAAGAAAATCTGGTTCTAATATAATGTGTAGAACCATCAGAGAGGAATTCTATGCTGACAGTAAATAATAAAATTTAGTGGCATCAAAAATAAATGTTAGTTTGTGGTATCTCCAGCATCTAACAGAAGTGAAATATACAGATAAAAGAAGTTAAAATCCCTCTGGATTAGCATGCAGCTCAAATTTACAGTCCAACTGCTTGATTCTCTGATGCCTTAGTCACTTACACGTGTGCAAAGTTGGTGTATAATGCTTCTGTTTGTCTTGAACTACTTCCTGTATGGAAAGGTGGACTTTAAGGCCACACCCACACGTAAGGAGTGTGCACTTTCAGTGGCACAATTTGCTGCAGCTCATGCCCCTGCACATGTCCTTCATTGTGGGACAAATTGTCCCACAACAGGCAAACTACTCTTGCCCAGCTCCTCCCAGCTTTTCAGCCAGAGTCCAGCAGTCTTACCTGGTGGCCTGGAGCAGCAGGGGCACAGGTCTGGCAGCATGGAGGCCTGGCTGAATGGCCTGGCTTCCATATGTGCTGGTGCACGCTTGTTGGGCATGTGCTATGCTGCCTTTTCTTCTGTTTTTTGGGGGGTTTTTTGCTACAAGGAAATCCTGGCAGTAACTTTTGGCCCTGTACTGCAAATTTGCAGCTCAGGGCATATTTTAACATTTGCCAACTGTGGCTTGCAGTGCCACAAAGAGGCTTGTGGTGCTGCAAACCACATGTGCTTATACATCTGTATGTGGCCTAAGGCTTTAACATATCAAACGAGCCAAAACTATGTATTTAGGGAGGCATCTATCAGCACCACTGTAGTTAAAGGTTCAGATCCACAGTTTTGACCAATGTGTGCTTGGGCACAAAGTAAAAGTAACTATATTATTTATTATTTGCATTGTGGTAGCAGCTAGCATCTGCATTCATAAACCAGCATAACATTGTGCAAGGTTCTATACCAACACAGAACAAAGGACACAGACAGAAGTGACAATTTTCTCCTGATCTGGCCACAGAAAGGAGTTTGTAGCCATGACCAAACCCAAGTGCAAGGTTGCAGACTGCTTAAAAATGGCTGATAAGGCAAAAATCTGAACTCTTGCTGCATGAGGGGTCAAATGAAGACATTTCAAAACAGAGAATCTTCTGTAGGCGTGTGTGAAATGGGCCATATTTGTTTTGGATTCAGCCTGAATCGGGGACAGTGATTTGATTTGCTGATTCAGATCACTGTCCCAGATTCAACTTGGCCAAATCTGAAATTGAAGATTTGATGCTGATTTGGAGAATCAGTGACTCGGCCATACACACAGCTTTAAATGTTTTTTCTACATACCTTGAGTTACTGGGCATGGCTCATGAACACTACAATGGTGAGGCGGATGGAGCATTCCACAGGAGCATGGGGGACCTTGTGCTTGGCAGCGAACCCAGAAGTGTACCAGAATTACTTCCGGTCTGCTTCTGTGTCTGCCAAGGAGCTCGCTGGGGGCCCCCCCCACGCTCCTGTGGGACATTTCATCTGCCCCAACATCGCAGCATTCACAAGCCACCTGGTACCTCGAGGTATGTAGAAAAAACCTTTAAAGCTGTGTCTGTCTGAATCTCTCCAAATCAAATCAGAGGGTTCCGATTCAAGTTGGAGAGATTAAAGGGTCTCCTGATTTGATTCGTAGATTCAGCCACCAAATTGGGCTGAATCTCCACCAAATCAAATCAGGGACCGAAGCTTTGCACAGCCCTAATCTTCTGTAACTTCTGTCTGCACTGCCACCCAGCCTTGAGCTGCTTTCAGAACGGGAGGGGATAAAAAGAATGGAGGGAGTTCATTCTGGGTTTTTTTCAGCCCTCATTGAAGAGTGGGGTGGGTGTATTGGAGCTCCCCCAAGGTGAGGGGCTGCAATTCACATTCACCCATCCTACCCTCCACTGCTAACTGGGGAACCCCTAGAATGAGCTCTCTCCCCTCCCTTTCCCCACTCCCACTCTGTAACAGGGTCAGGCTGGGAGAGAGGAGTGGCTGTTGCTAGGGAAAACCAACCACAGGCTGGTAGCAAACAGCTAGAGTCCCCTCCCCCCCCTTGAACCAACAGTCAACTTCTGTTTAGTCTGGGGGGTTGTTGAAACCCAGAATGATTTCTGCAAAGCATTCTCATTTACAGCAGGGAGCTGCACTTCTGTCTGCACCCATAGAAGGGTTTTGAAGAAAGGTGATGTGGTGACCTTTGAAAGATATCTCAGATATCTCTTTCTGTACAAGCAAGAAAACATGATAGAAATCATAAGTAAGATTTTTTGAAAATTAAACAAGTGAGTGATGAGGGCTGGGATCATGGGTAGAATGGAAGCAGAAGTTGACATTTTGGGAGCATATGTGATGAGAATCATCTCACCTTTACCAAGTTCCTGATTCTGTCTGTAAGTCCTATGTTAGGTACTTTCAATGACTTTTCCTTGATCTTTTTTTCTCAGCTTCACCTATCAGGAAGGGATAGTCACAGTAATGTCTAAGGATGTAAAGTGTTATCCTACTATGTAATATACATTTGCTGGGATCCTTTAAATCTGGAATGCTTCATTGTATCATGTGGTTCATTCAGAGCAGTGATTCTCAACCAGAGTGCCTTGGGATCCTTTCAGGGGTGCAACACAGTGTTAGTACTCTCAGGTGTACAAACATGATTCACATGATAAACTCCAAGATTTCAAATAGGAATCTGTAGTGTTAAAATCATCATCTTTCTGGGTTCTTTGCAACAGAAAAATTGCTCTTATTTTTCTGTAGTCAAAACCAAGTGAAAACTAAGAACAGACATTTTCCAAGATGTGTTTGAAGTCTGTCAAGGGGTGCCATGAGTCCAAAAAGTTTGAGAGTCACTGATTCAGTGTGAGAGATGAGAGGATTTACTTAGATATAAATGACACAGAAAGGAAGTTTAAAAATAATTGCATGTGAAGAAGTATTATGTGCTGTCTTTTCAAGTGGCAGATGATGTCATTTTGGGTGAATGAAATCAATCATAATGCAGATTTTTATATTCCTTTATCCTTTTATTACCTTTTTTCTGCTTTAACAGGAATACTATGACAAAGGAGATTATGTTATTCGTGAGGGAGAGGAAGGAAGTACCTTCTTTATATTAGCCAAAGGAAAGGTAATATATAAAGAAATTTAATCTTAAATTGCAGAATACAAATGTATTTTCCAAACAGATCCTGTTGGGTGAAATCAGTATATTTTATCTAGGATGCTGTTAAGTCCTTTGGAGTCCGTTGCTTATTATAATTGCTCATGGGTGAGAAACCTGACTGTTATTTAAAATACAGCCCCTGTACACTGGGTAATGTAACTTGTACCAGTTTTAAGGCCTTTTAAATTGTCAGATGCCATGTACAGGTATTATGTTTCTACCAGGAAAGTTGCAGCTCTCCTGGTAGAAACTAGGAGTATGCAGGTGTTCATTCAGTTTCTCCTGGAGGAAATATGCCATTACTGGGAGAAAAATTGACAGCTGGAAGATCTCTCCTGAGAGAGAGTTTCTGCGGAATGAATGTGCTTGACTCCAGGGCAGAACCAGAGGGTGTGCAGTCACGTGGTGCACCGCTCTTTTGGATTGGACCACACAGTAGGAACCTACAGGGAATTTTAAAGCTCCATAAGCAGTTGAAACCACTCTCTCCTTTCCCCTTCCTACTCAAAGTCGTGGGGGCTAGGCTCATCTGAGAATGGGAACAAGAGCAGCAGGGATGACCAGGGGATTCCCCTTCCCATGCTGTGACTGTTCGGTGTTGGAGAAATTATTCTCCAGCCACATTGTTGCCGCTATCCCTTCCCTAGTTGAGCCCAGTCTCTGCTTAGCCCGGCTGGCTCTGGAGCATCCCCATTCCCAAACAATAGAGAAAGCAGGCAGGAGTGGGGTAGGGGGAAGAGGAGGGGAAGGGGCAGCCTCTGAGTAGGGGGGATTTTCATCTTCTTTTGGGATTTAAAAAGTCCCCAGAGGTTCCTGAAGCACAGGCTGCTGCCTTGGTTAGGGAGTGGGGAAAAGTGGCAGGGAGGAGGGGGCTGGGAGAATGGGGTGCATCTACTCTTGCAGTGCTGACTGCTGCTCATTACCCTCCTTTACAAAACCCTGGATCTGTTCCTGGCTTGACTCTTCCGTGATCATAGAAAATTAGGGTTGGCAGGGATCTCAGGAGGTCATCTATTCCAATCCCCCTACTCAAAGCAGGACCATCCCCAGCTAGATCAACTGATCAGGAGAACTTGAGCAGCAGCTTCCCCTGTGCCTTCCCCAGACTGGGGGGACTCCCTGCAGCTCGACTCCTCCTGATCACAGGGGAGTTGAGCTACTGCTTCCCCCAGAGACCAGGGACACAGTAGTCCGAAGAAGGTGCAGAGCACTACTTTGCTGCTCCCTGTTTGTTCCATAGACTGGGAACTTTCCAGTTTGGTGCTTTGCACCCTTTTCCAAATCCAGAGACTTTCTGGGCAGGTTTCCTATCTGGGAGAGGCATGGCAGAGCCACTCCCTGCCGCCCCCCACCCCCTCCAGGAAATGGGGGAGTGTGGACTGTACTGCTTCCCTTCCGAGAAAGATTTCTAGCCATGGAAAATTCTCAGATTTATCAGAAATGTCCACTGCTTAGAAATGTATGCCTCTTCGTACTCAGAGTGGTGCCATGTTACTTTAGTTTAAATAAGCCCACTACGACTTTTTGGTCTCCCAGAAAATTAGAACATAAATACAACTCTGGAAAAAACTCAATTTGTGAAATAACTAAGAAGCAGTGGCCTACTTGGTACCTCGATCTATAAGCTACCAGCCTATTAAATTACTCAATCAGTGTCAGTTTCCTTTTAGTTTTTACCCCAAATAATAAATCAGTACCCATTATCCATTAACTATTAGATTGGCATGAGACCTTAAAAGACCAATGTGGGAGAAAAATATTGTAAAGGTAGCTTTTATGTCTCTAAAAGATTGTTTTTATCTGGGGGTATTACCAAAAAACCTTGCTTCTGTCGTATTTCCTGGAGCGTCACAGCTACAGCAGCCCTAAAAGCTAAATGTTCATTTCTAGAAGCTTGTAAATAGAAGTATAAAACACCTCATGGAAATTAAAATTAGAGCATTAATATTATTTAGGTAATAATATACTTTTTTCCCCACAGCCCTGCCCCCACCATTAAAATCTAAGCTTTTTTGATATTATGCTTATTTGAAGCTTTACAGTGCTTTTGCTGAAGCATTGTAAAGATTCAGAAATCTATGAAGAATATAGAGCAGGGTAAGGGAAGCTGGGCAGCTTTGAGTCTTCTTTACCCACATGAAAACATGACTTACTGTGGAATTTTTGTTCCTACCTCTCCCAGGTTAGAGTTACCCAAAGTACTGATGGTCATGCCCAGCCCCAGTTGATTAAAACATTGCAGAAGGGGGATTACTTTGGCGAAAAGGCTCTGATCAGGTTGGTTCACAATGTTTAATTCATGCTCTTCAGTTTGTTTCTTTAGACACTTAAATATGCTATTGATTTGACCTCTTACGATCATCCTTGTTTTGACTGTAAAGTTATGTTTGAAAAAAGGCAATGTGTGAATATGCTATTATACCAATACATTTTTGCATAGCCAGTTTTAAGACAAGCTGCCATGTGCTCTTGGCTCCATATGAAAAAAAGGCAGTGACCACACTGTTCGTAGGTCCAAATAGGTCCTAAAGGCTTAATAAAAACTAAATGAAACTCGCAAAACCCTTTTGATTAAATTTTTACTGCAAAAGTATTTCTTTAAATACCAAATTTTTAGTTATCCTTTGACCAAATACTTTAATGGAATCAAAACTTCTTCCCCTCAAAAAGGCTACATAAAGCTGTCCACATGTAAACACAGGCTTAGGAATATAAATATATATTTTGTCAAAAGTCTGACCTTGTGAGTTGTTTTTAGTTATAGAATAAGCGGGTCCTTGTACACGTGACTAAGGGCTCTTGTACACAGGAGGAAAGTGCCCCTTTTAGTAGCTTAATTGCCCTTTTTAATGAATTAATTGCATAACAGTGTAGATGTTTGGTGGCATGGTATGATTAAATTTTGTAACAGTGTACCCATTCATTAGCGTATTTAGATTTAAATGACTTTTTATGTAGCAAACTAAAATGCATCCCATGTATTTTTGTTTGCTATGTAACAAATTACAGCAATATTTCTCATGTGACAAGGGCCCTATCTGGAGAAGGCAGTGGGGATAGCGCATGGGGTGCTGGAAGCCTGGGTGTGCTTAGGGAAGTTTGGGCTTGGCAGGCTTCTGGTGCCCCATGCACCATCCCCACCGCCTTCTCCATCTGCCAGCATATCTGCCCACCCTCCTGCCACCTTCCCAGGGAAGTGGTGGGGATGGTACACAGGATGCTGGCAACCCTCCAAGCCCAAATTTACCTGTGCACACCTAGGCTTCCAGTGACCACTGGATCTGGTGGGTGCTGCCTCAGAGCTGGAGCTGCACCCATGCAGCTAGCGCCCTGCCTGGGCAGCCCCAGGGGACTTTGTCACCATGGAGGGAAGCACTGAGGCCCCTGCAGTTCACAGGCTGTGTATCCCAGTGGGATCTCATGCAGACAGGTTCTACCAAGTGGGGCGGGGGGAATGGCAAGAGACCTAATTAGGCTTACATATAGTAGAAAACTCTCCCATGCAAATGACCTTGTAACAAGAAATAAGCAGAGAACAGTAAAGAAAATGCATGATCTGTAGGGATCTGGGTTTTCTGTTTCCCATGGAAAAACGGAAAAATGTGGATTTCCATCTTTACCCAAGAAAAGCATGGATTTTTCATTTTAAGAGAAATGCATGGTCTTTGCACTTTTTTAAAGAGCTCTCTGCAGGCTGGCAAGAGTTCCAGCTTGCAAGAAACTGGGGGGAAGTGGGAGGAGGGCAGTCAGGCAAGGGGTGTCATGTGCACATATAGACACCAGGCAGCCTGGAGAGTAGCTCCTGTAAGTAAGGAGTGGGGCGGGGGATTGAGGCCCCCATAGGGAGGGAGTTAGGCAGGGCTGGGGCTTCTGCCTCGCTGGGCAGTGTGTGGGACTTGGAGCCCAGGACTGGAATGTATGGCCACCAGGCCTCAGCAGGCAGCAGGATGGGGCTGCAGGCAGCTCATCTAGGGGGACAGGGGAGCTCCCCACTGCTGCCTGCACTCCTGGAGGGGAAAGGGTAAAGAGGGAAATCCACATTTTTCTGTTTTTCCATGGGAAACAGAAAACCCAGATCTGTGTATGGGGTGGGGGCAGGTATAGGCTGCCTGATGCAGGCTCGGGGCTAATCACCCTGCTGACCCTGTTATTTAATTGCCATTTGCTCAAATCATGAGGGAGACTTTATAAAGGGAGATAAGGCAAGGTGCTGTGTTTATTGATCACATGAGTTAGACATAGAGGTTTGGGCACACCATTCATACAAACGCACACAAGTCATCATACACATTATTACACACAGGCATACACATACACAAAACAACCATTTCATCCACACATACACCAGATATAGTTACCAGCAATAGTTGCTCAATATCAGCCCAGGGTGGCCAACCTGGGCTTATTGAGTAGATGATGATAATTTAAAGATAGCAGATTTGAAGATAATAGCTGGAGCGGGGTGAACAGTACATCTGTGCTCCGATGAAACAGCACTAGAGAAAGAGACTCACCCAACTTGGCATTTTTAAAGTTTTCTTTTATAGGGATTGGCATTCTTTGTTTTAGTGCTTTGGGGTTTTTCCATACCCAGCTTGTGTTTTTGTGGTTGTTCTTCTTTTGTCTTTAGCTTATCTTAGCCTTGGAGTGTTCTTGCTGCCCATCTGGCAGGATGGGTGCATTCCTTCTCCTTGTTATCTTCTTTGTACCCTAGGCCTAACAGGGTTTCTTCAGCCATTCATTAATTAGCTTACTGACTGGTAACTTATATTTGGCTCCTTGTTGCTTACATAAACGGTTAAATCTTCTTCTCCCATCTCTATGCCATTCTCTCACCATTCACCCTTTTAAACAGACTCATACATAAAGGCTACACAGAGTTCATTCACTTATGTCAAGCACAAGGATACAAAATGGAGTTTTCAAGTTGCTTACAGGACAAGACTAACATGGTTATATTTCACAATTATTACACTTTATGTTAACATCGACTACATTAGTTCAGTTCATGCAACAACCCACCTCCTCAGGCTTCCACAGCCCAGTGGGATGGACCCAGCATGGTGGGGCAGAGCAGGGAAGCTCCTTGCTGCTGCAAGGCCTGTGTCACTATAGTGAGGTATCCCCTTCCCTCCCTGGAGCAGCGAAGGGCACTACCCCTGCTGATTGCTGCTGCAGGGCATGCTGGGGATGCTTCACCAGGGCAGTGTGGATCTCACAGCAGCAAGGAGCTTGTCTGCCCAGCCCTGCTCTGCCATGCAGGGTCCTGCCCACTGTGCTGTGGAGGCCCTGGGGAAGGGCAGCA